CAGCAAAGCTACAATTTGTTAGCAAGAGGGTTAATTGACTCCTGACTTGTATACTAAAAATAAAATGCGTAAGCGTTTAAAAAAAGAGAAAGAAGAAAAAACCTGCCTTGGTCCTAAGCTCTTTGCTTGTTTATTAACATTAAAACTCAGGGGGTTATTTTTCAGTGGAGGAAGTGAGAGAACAGGGCGCTTTCTGCTGGGAGGCAGTCGGGATGGGATAAGAGGTATGTTTGCAGAGCAAAATGTGGTTTCAGTACACACAGCGTGAGAACCAGAATTTACCTGTCAAAACCAGGCCTTCAGCTACTTGACTTCAAAGTGACCTCGAAGGTGAGTCTGCAGTGACTGAGCACACAGCAGTGAACGACGGGGCGGAGATATCTGCTCTAACACAGGATCATTTATGGAAACCTGCTGGCGTGGTTCAGACTGGCGTTTAGCTCATGTTTTGAAAACAACTGCTATAAAAACTTGTTCCAACAGAAGATTTTTAAACCACTATTCCTTATCCCATGTCGTGTTTTTTATTAAATAATCAGCTGCCGTTGATAGAGTGAGATCCCTTCATCAGACCTGAAAGTATTTCCGTGAAGAAAGAATAGCAGGCAAATTTTGTAGTGTACCACGGCCAGGCATTCTGTTTGCCAACACACACTTGCACTATTCTGAATGTAATAAAACAGGCATTGTTGAGTTCCCTCTTGCTTTAGTAAGCTGTGCCCGTACCAAGCCGTTCAATAAGCACATTAACTGCTTTTGTTTGTAGGAATCACGGTGCCTAATGCACACTCACAAACAGCCGTTCATGATGCCTTCAAAAACCTTTAAGTAGAAATGTGGCAGTGAACGGTGTGGCCCCACACACGACAGAGCTGTAACTCTCAATGCCTCTGCATGACTGTTTTGAAAGAGCAATTCTGAGTTCAGCTGTACCAAGAAACAAATCTGAGAGTCTGCATGAATGAAATATGCAATGCCTCAATGAGCAAACTGCAACTTAGACTAGTTTTCTGTAATCCAGGTGCAATTGAAGTTTATTTATGGTCACACTTAGGATGATGATAAAATGGACTGCCAACGGTTAAGCATTTTACAGGTACTAAAACCAGTGCACTGAATGTTAGAATCACCATTCAATGCATTAAGCATCAGTTTTATGAGAGCCAATAATACCCGAATGGAAAAAAAGGCAAAGGTCTGGGTAGTGCCAGTAAGTTTCATGGAAACCATAAGTAATTGGCCCACAAAGGCAGGAAACCACGCGGTGTGTGAGAATGAGAGCTTTTTGTGTGGATGTGTGTGTGTGTGCCTGCCTGGTGTGGCCACCTCCAAAGGCACTGAGCCAGGCAATGGGGAACAGGAGCCCTGGGGACATCAGTGCGACACAGGTGTCAGAAAAAAGCCTTTCCTCAACTGTGGAATCAGTGGGACTGCATGGTCTGATCATTGTAGTGCTTTATTTAAAAGAAAAAAACTACAGGAAACCCAGGTCTGAGCCCTTCCCTTGGACTGCAGCCTTCTTACCTGAAAGAAGCCTGGAATTTTTTCACTTTTCAGCCACTCCCAAAGCCTGGTACAGAGCGGAGGTGGATACACAGGAAACTGTTTTTCCACGGCAGATTTCTGCTAAAATTTCTTGTTATTTTAACAACTGCTTGATTCAGCAGTACCACTTCGCAGGCTGTTTTATAAATAGAGATGTTTCCTCTGCCCTGAAGAGCTTGCAACCTACATGAGACAGACAAAATACAGCAAATGAGTAAAAGTGGGATGAGCAGAATGCTAATGATGACACAGGGGAAGGTGCTGCTTGAAGGTGTAAAGCGGGCGAAGGATTAAGATCTTCACAAGACAGCTCCCTTTTTTTCATCTTGCATCAGACTGACATTGCAGCAGCCTGGCAGGATGAATGAATGAACGCAACGCCTCGACTTTTGAACAGTCCAAAACGGTCATTTGAGATTTCATTAAATGCTCATTTAAAAGGCAACACAACACCTAGATTCTACGTGAATGAGAGACCTTGGTTTAAAAATGTGGAAGTGCAGAGCTGAGAAAGTAAACCACACCATTTTGTATATATATTTCCTATGGCCACTGGTGGTCTTGTCAGCGCACATCTGAGATTCTAGTTTTGATCAACACCGGTGTTAATTCAGAAAGAACAGGGTTCATTGTGGGCCTAATCCTTTGCCATTGATCTAATTCAACAAGAGTTTTAGCGACGCCCTTGGGGAAGAATATTCTGCATAGAATAAGAGATTTCAGTATCCAATTCTGACTCTAGATTAATACTGTGGTAAAATTAGTCATATGCATGATTGTGGTTATAAAGGCTTAAAGCATGTGCTTAAATACTTTCAGGATTGGGGCCTCTGTCGTTTTTTGTGGCTGATGCCTGGCTGAGATCCCTTTGTAACACGCTGCTGCTATCAGAAATACGACACTGGCCACATGAGTGCATGCTCCAGGGTAAAACTGACTTTCAATTGCTTCAAAAATTGCTTTTATAACAGTTAAGAGATCACAGAGACCATTCTGAACAGTAATTAAAGCATATTTAGCAAATACAAAATATTGCTTGGCTGGGGAACGTTTAACACAGTCGAGCAGGAAAAATGAACAGCTTTTAAACTGAAAGGTCTGCCTTATGGACAGAGACCATCTTTGTTCAATGTCTGCACAACTGTACCAAGATGGGGCTGCGAGCCTCATGCATCTGTAGGACAAAAAATGACAAGAGGGAAAGAGACAGCGTCCCGTGTGAGGTAGCACAACTGAAAGCACTGAAGTCACACCAGGCATTTGGCAGGGTGCTGTGGCCTTCCACAAAGCCTGCTTCATCAGAGGCATCTCAGGAATGTGTCCCAATCAGCTAAAAATATGTATGACTGATGTTCCTTGTCTTGCGGCAGTGTCTGCTACCAAGCAATAAGAATCACAGAATCATAGAATCATAGAATGGCCTGGGGTGAAAAAGACCATGATGCTCATCCAGTTTCAACCCCCTGCTATGTGCAGGGTCACCAAACCAGCAGCCCAGGCTGCCCAGAGCCACATCCAGCCTGGCCTTGAATGCCTGCAGGGATGGGGCATCCACAGCCTCCTCGGGCAGCCTGTTCCAGTGCCTCACCACCCTTTGTATGAAAAACTTCCTCCTCATATGTAATCTAAACAAATTCTATATCTTATCAGATTCACCTGATGACTTCTGGTGATAGCAAGAAATGCATTGTTTTTACTATTTTTTGTATTTTATGTATTTTATATCAGCTGTAGACAGCAGCCTAGGTGGGTTCATGGTACCAGATGGCCTCACATTCCTTTTCTTTCTAATTTTTATTTTCTTTCTTATTTCTGAATGTGTCCAGATCTACATTGCTCCAGTTATGGACTTATGTGACATCAACTCCTGGATGAAGCTGTCGGACATATCGTTGAATGCTGACATTCTGTGTAGTATGTGGAAGTATCAGGCAGCTGGGAAACTCTATAATTGCTCATCTTCAGGCACAGAGAGGGGAAAACCAGATCTTGTGAACCCTTCATACCCATCCTAACCCCAGGCCCTATTTTTAAACAAGGAATGTAGATCAAATCCAGGCAAGGCTGTGCCATTGATGTCCTTCAGTATAGACAGGAGCTTATTAACAGGAAGATATTGGGATGGAGTGTGCCGTCAGCAAGTTTGCTGATGGCACCAAGCTGAGTGGTACCGCTGACACAACAGAAGGAAGGGATGCTCAGAGGGTGCAAGTGTCTCTGCTGTGAAGGAGGGCTGAGGGAGCTGCGGGTGGTCAGTCTGGAGAAACTCTGGGGAAACCTCATTGAGCCCTTCCAGGACTTAAAGGCTGTTTGAAACAGGAGAGGGACTGCCTTTTTATGTGATTTGGTAGTGATATGACAAGGGGGTATGGCTTTTAATTAAAAGAGGGGATATTTAGATAAGAATTTTATTCACTGAGAGGGCTGTGAGGCCCCGACACTGCTTCCCACAGCAATTTTGGGTGTCCCATCCCTGGAGGTGCTCAAGACAGCGCTGGATGGGACACTGGACAGCCTGATCCGGTGGGCGGTGTCCCTGCCCAGAGCAGGAGGTTGGGCCTAGATGATGTTTCAGGTCTCTTCCAACCTAAGCCTTTCTATGATTATATACACCACTGAAATGCAGCACGTCACAGGTTATCAAAAACTGGCATTGATGTGATATCCTCCTCCAAACACAAAGAAGCGATATCCCCGCCTACCCGAGGGACTTCTGGCACATAGCGGCTCTGTTCTGGAAGGCACCTCCCACACTCCATCCTGACGAGGACCCTCCACGGCAGCGCCCGGCCGCGCTTCCCTCCACCCGCAGGCCCCTCGGGCGCAGGGACCCTGAAGCAGGACATCGGATGATTGACAGTCCCTCCGCCAATAGAAGCTGCGGATTCGGCAGCCTCTAGCCAATCGCTGCCCGAAGTGGGTTTCAAGCAACCGACTCCTCCCGCCGCTCTTCTAAAGAAGGGGAAGGCGCTAGCGGCCGCCATCTTGTGTGTGGCATCCCCACCCTTCCCTTTCTCCTCTTTATGAGCCTTTTTCCACGTCCCGCTCTCTGCACCCCGCTGCAGCTCCCCCTCTCCGAATAGCGACGGTGTGAGAGAGCGATGGCAACGCGCCCTACGCTCTCACTAACCTTCGGAGGAGGCGGAGAGGTGCCGCGCTCAAGATGGCGCCGGGCGGCGCCCCACAGGCGCTGAGGGCGGGCGCGCGTGGCGGCGGGCGCAGGTGACGTCAGCGCGCTCTGGGCATGGGCAGGTGGAGAGAGGAGGCAAAGTTTGGCCGGCGGTAGCGGCAGGCGGCGGTGGAGGAGGAGGAGGCGGCGGGGCTGAAGGAGCCGCGGTCGGCAGCGTTTGGTTCGGGGTCGGATTCGGAGCGGCCGAGCCGCGCGGGACAGCACAGCGCTTCTCTGTTCGTGTGGGGCCTCCCCCCCCTGAGGGCGGGCGGGCCGCGGGCACGGCGCGGCCATGGCCGAGGAGCCCAGCGCGCTGCCCTGGTCCATCAACAAGGATGACTACGAGCTGCAGGAGGTTATCGGTGAGCGGGACGGGACCCAGAGCGGGGCTTTGGCTGTGCGTGAGGGCTGTGGGAGGTGATGGAGAGGGGGGGGAGCGGCCCTCCTCGGGAAGGAGTGAGAGCGTCCCGCTGAGGGGCTGCGGTGTTCTCCGTTGCTCTCGGAAGGCGGTTTGTCACCTTGCTTTTCTCAGAGTGTCTGACACCCC